GGGGCCTGAGACGCCCCGCTCCTCACCCCTCACCCCTGCACAGCCCAGCGGGGCCTGAGACGCCCCGCTCCTCACCCCTCACCCCTGCACAGCCCAGCGGGGCCTGAGATGCCCCGCTCCTCACCCCTCACCCCTGCACAGCCCAGCGGGTCCTGAGACGCCCCGCTCCTCACCCCTCAGCCCTGCATAGCCCAGCGGGTCCTGAGATGCCCTGCTCCTCACCCCTCAGCCCTCCACAACCCAGTGGGGCCTGAGATGCCCCTTGCTAGCAGTGAGGCCAAGAGCAAAGGGCAGCCCACCCCAGCTGGTGGCCACTCTCCTTCTTCTCCGCTGCTCTGCAGCCCCCAGGGATGGTGCTGACAGACGCTGGCACCAGGGTGGACACCACCCGCGGGTGCTCAGAAACAGAGCGCCCCCTGCGCGCCTGCCTGAGCTGCGCCTGCTCAGTGACCACAGCGCCCCGGGGACGCCCACTCGGCCACCCAGGTACCTGCCCCACCCCCACCTCGCCCCCGGGGGCGCTCAGCTGTGTGACACACACACACACACACACACACACACTCCATGCCTCACAGGTTCTCGGAGCTGGTGGATGGAAGAAGAAGAGTGAGCGCCAGGTTCGGTGGCTCTCCCCACAGAGCCGTCACCATGGGATCACGTGAGTTGAGACACCTGGCCCCGCGCACGGCCCAGCGCCCGTCCCCAGCACCAGCGGTGACGAGGCCCTTGCCACCTGAGCAGTCAGGGGCTCCACCCCACGCAGGAGCTCTGGGCTCCTGGGTCGGTGCCAGAGCGCAGGCTACCCAGCAGGGGAGGCCGGTGGCTGGCTCCGGGCCAGCAGCCCCAGCCCCCGGGTCCCGATGCCCTGCCGGGCTGGGCAAGGGGTGAGTTCCAGAACCTGCCTGCAGCAGACATCCCCCACAGTACTGGCAGAGGTCCCCTAAAAGCCAGGCCTCATCCTCATGGGACCCCAGCAGAGACCTGACGGCCTGTTCCAGAGCTACGTTCAGAGGAAGGGGAGGTGGCAGGGAGATGGAGGCCCTTTCCGCCCTCGCGGGCTGAGGGCTGGTGCAGCCGCTGCTGCTTCTAAGTGAGAGAGGGGAAGAGCAGCCGGGCGCCGGCGGCTCACGCCTGTCAACCTAGCCACTCAGGAGGCTGACATCTGAGGACCCCAGTGTAAAGCCGCCCAGCAGGAAAGTCCATGAGACATCGCCAGTTTATCACCGGAAAACTGGCAGTGGCGCTGTAGCTCATGTGTTAGAGCACCAGCCTTAAGCTGAAGAGCTGAGGGACAGCAAGCCCGACCACTGACCAAGTGGGGAGAGCAAAGGCTGGGGTTGCCCAGGGAGCTGCCCAGCTGCCTGGCAGTGGTCACTCCAAGACTTGCAGCTGGGGGCTGAGGATACGTCCTACAGAGAACGCAGGCAGATAAGAGGAAGATTTGTTCCCCACCCACAAGAGGCAGGGACAGAAGGAGAGAAATGGGGACAGAGGTCATCACCTGGGCAGTAGGAAGGCTCCTGGCAAAGCAGCTCACTGGGTTTCCCCAAAGCCTGGGGGGGGGGGCGGCTGGAGGCGGGGCTGGAGGCCCCAGAGCAGAGGGCAGCTCCAGGCAGGCCCAGGTCAGGTCCAGGTTCAGAGCAGATGTGTGTGGTCACCTCCAGTTTCTCCTAGAACCCACCACACTGGTGCCACTCGGGAACACAGAGGAGACCCCTGAGCAGGCCCACCTGGCCCTCCGGCCCCCTGGACGTGGTGACAAGGACATGGAGGAGACCCCTGAGCAGGCCCACCTGGCCCTCCAGCCCCCTGGACATGGTGACAAGGACATGGAGACCCCTGAGCAGGCCCACCTGGCCCTTCGGCCCCCTGGACATGGTGACAAGGACATGGAGACCCCTGAGCAGGCCCACCTGGCCCTCCGGCCCCCTGGACATGGTGACAAGGACATGGAGGAGACCCCTGAGCAGGCCCACCTGGCCCTCCAGCCCCCTGGACATGGTGACAAGGACATGGAGACTGCTGAGCAGGCCCACCTGGCCCTCCGGCCCCCTGGACGTGGTGACAAGGACATGGAGGAGACCCCTGAGCAGGCCCACCTGGCCCTCCGGCCCCCTGGACGTGGTGACAAGGACACGG